TTTGCAAACTCATTTTTCTCATCAGCACAGTGAAATCACGGTTTGCCCTTGATTAATTAGTTTCTGCTCTTCCCCGTTTTGCCCCCCCTCTCCTTCGATTGTAACGACTTGGAGCCTTCGTTCTATCTGATGCTGAGTTCGTTTCTAACCAGGTTGGTTGGCCTGGTTGCGGGGCAATGATGGAAGAGGTCGGTTTACTGTTGGAGATTATCTGGAGGCTTCGATTTTTATAGGAGTGGTGTGCATTGGTCTTCTTCTTCATATCGAACTCCAGCTCTCTCTCTGTTTCAATCTCTTTCTCTAATTCTCAGACATGGGTACTTTCAAGGTAAGCATGCATAGCTTATTCTCAGATTTCTCTACCCTTGCTAATTCATCTTATCTCATCTGCTTCGTTTGTTCAGCCATCTTTCCAGCTGCGCTTCATCCTTCTTCTCATCGCACGGGTTTAGCTCAAAGGGATTTCTAGGTTTCGAAAAAAAAGGTTGGTTTTAACATTCTTTTGGTTTTCTAGGTTGGTTTATTCATTTTCCATATCGAAAATTGAGAAGGAAATCAGAAATTGAGTTTGGTTTGTTTTTACAGGGAGGAAGATCTAAGGAAAAAGAACTGGAGTAATCAATATGCTGCTCATCAATCTGGTAATTGATGTCTGTGTGGCTGAATTTTTTTTTTTTTTTTTTTCTGTTTGTACTTATCTTGCATTCCCTTTTTGGAGTCTCTCTTTGACCTTGAAGATGCATAAGGTTCTTGATTACTGTCAATTACTGAAAATCATGTTATGTCATTTTCACATACAGCTCAGACAGACTAGCTTTCTATAGCATATACAGCCCTTGATTATAAAAGGGTGGAACCACATTCTCTTGATATAGTATTGCAATTGTATAGCAATACAGCCCTTTATTATAAAAGGGTGGAACCACATTCTCTTGATATAGTATTGCAATTGTATAGCAAGCTGTAAAATTTGTTGTATTACCTGCATTGCCCTGCTCTTTCTTCTCTGCTCATTTTCTTCTCTCGCCACAGCATTCCTCAACCTCACTCTTCCTGGCCAACATCCCAACCCGGAAGTTGTTGTTCAAGAAGTTCATAGGTAAAATACATAGCTTTAATTACCTCCTCTGTTTTTTTTTTCACTGTTTTCTTCTGTTTCTCAGCCTTTTGTAGATCTGAGTTATCAATCTTTACTTCTTTTTTCCCTTTATTTTTCAGGAAGGTTTATGCTTCTTTGGCAAGAAGGCAAATGCTGCAAGGAACCCAAAAATACTAGGACTCTTCATGCCTAACCGAAAACCCAATAGATGACTGTTGGGAATGTGACCCAAATTGGCCAGACAACAGGCAGAGCTTAGCAGATTGTGCAATTGGGTTTGGCCAATATGCTCTTGGAGGCAAAGGTGGTGAGTATTATATTGTCACAGACTCTTCTAATGATGATGCTGTGAATCCAAGGCCAGGCACTCTGAGATATGCTGTGATACAGACTGAGCCTCTCTGGATTGTGTTCCCTGGCAACATGCTCATCAAGCTCTCCCAAGAGCTCATCTTCAACAGCTGCAAGACCCTTGATTGCCGTGGAGCCAATGTCCACATTGTGGGTTGTGGCTGCATCACATGGCAGTACATAAGCAATGTCATCATCCACAATGTGCATATCCACCACTGTTATCCGTCAGGTACATGAGTTTTCCACTTCCTTTCATGAATTTTTATTTACCATATACGCATGGTTTGCTCATAGTTAAGTGTATTCAGATTTACTTGATACTCTTGGAAGCATAATTTCAGTGTATGCTGTAGGAATTAGCTCAAGTAGCAGAGAAGGTGTTTGATAAAAATTGGTTAGGATTAGAATAAGTTAAGATTTCGATCCATTCCATGCACGTGACGCTAATGTGCGTTCAAGTCCAACCCACTACGGCTACCGCACAAAATCAGAAGGATTTTGATCTCAAGGAAACTGACTTTTTGGACTTTATTTACTCTGTTTAAAATTGGCTTTAAAGGGAAGTTTTGAATGACTGATGAAACAGAGAATATGATTATATGTCAAATATTATATTGTTGTTTTTCAAATAGCATTTGTCTTCTGGCTGCTCCTATCCATATATATAATGACAAATAGCATATTTGGATAATCAAATTTGTTCATTTTCTTCCTTTTCAAAGTTACTAGGTTTAATTGTAACCGAAAAAAAAAAGTTACTAGGTTTAATTTGTGCTTCCACACAATATATAATTTATTCTCCATTTAGCTTAACAAACTTATTAATTGCACTCTCTGCATATTTTCAGGATTGATAATCATACAAGCCGATTTCAATCCCTCTTTCGTGTATCAGCCCTCATAAAGATGACATTTATATGCTTTTGTTGAAGAACTTTACGAAATATTCATTACATTTTTGTGTTGTTTTACCCCACATTGTATCTCAGTATCTTCTTGAAGATGTTGCTTTGGAGCCCAAATGGTTGAATAAAATCCCCGTAGGTCAGGAGTTCATGCTTTTTTTTAACTTTTATGGGGAACTTTTGCCATGACATTGATTAAGGAGCCAATATATTTAGCATTGAAATTTAAAATTAACTTCAGAATTCTTCATTAATTCTCAGGTACAGTGAGATCTATTTCTTTTACTTTCGAGGTTTATATTTTTTTATGACTCAGGCTGAATCAAGAAATTGTAAATTCTCCAGTAATGTGTTGATTCATGCAGTTGACAAACTCAGGAGCTTCTTAAGGCAACTTCCTCTTTTTTCAAATGCTTTTCTGGTTGGTGGTGCAGAAGACTTCTTTATCATTGAACTTGCAGATCAGGTAAATTTTGAAGCACTCTCTGCTGCAAGTAATTTTGTTGAGTTTTTGTTCTCATTGCATTGAATGATCAGGTGGATATTTTCTTTACTGGTCAGCTTCAAAAACTGAAGGTGGAACCAGCACATAAAACTTCTCCGGGGTAATATTCTAACCAATTTTTAGGTTTAAGATTTAAGGCATCATGTGAACTTGGTATTATGGTGGCTTCAGATTATCGACTTATTTATTGTGGTGCTAATTAATTAAACTCAAGTTATTTGAGCCTAGTTGGGGTTTAGGGTTCTCTCTGGTGGGCATGTAGATGATTTCTGATGATTTCCGATGATTTCTGGGATTGCCGGGCAGTCCAAACATGGGGCCTAGTCGGTGGTTCTCTCTGGTGGCTATGAAGATGATGAGGACCATGGCGAGTGGTTTCTTTACACAGGGAGGTAATTATATTTAATTATTATAATTATTATAATTAATTAATTCATAATGATTTTTTAATTTACCTGTTCTGTCTTAATTAATCTTTGGTTTTGTGCTGAACTGTACAGTGGTGGAAGGGACCTTAGTGGCAATAAGCGTACAAATAAGGCTCACACTTTTGATCAGAAGTTAGAGCTGAGGAATCAGGCGCTAAGAGAAAGTTGCCTACAGGGTTACCCTGTTCGAGTTGTCAGGTGAGTTTTGTGTCTTTGTCAAATAGAAAATATCTGATGCGAGAACAAATTTTTTTCACTTAAAAACTTTGTCATTTTTGTTTTCTTTATCGTTTTGGTTGAATCTTTTGTGTTTTAGCTAACACTAATTATTCTTTTGGGCAGATCCAAGAAGGAGAAACGCTCCTCTTTTGCCCCCGCCAGCAGGGCTACGATACGATGGAGTTTACAGAATTGAGAAATGTTGGACAAAACATGGAAAACAAGTAAATAACTCTTCATAATTGCGTACTCCATCCTCGTTCATTAAAGGTTTTTTCATGTCACTGACTAGATCCAAGAAGGTATGTATACAGTATATCTCTCTCTCTCTCTCTCTCTCTCTCGCGTACTCCATCCTTTTTCATTAAAGGTGGTCCTTTTTTTCACCTGTGCTAGCTGTAAGTTCAACATTTGGCATGTGCGTCACTTGTGCTAGCATGTTCAACATTTAGCATGTACATCTATTCTTTCTGCTGTTTTTTTATTTATAAAATGTCTAAGTTTCATTCCCAATAATTAAATTGGTACATAACTCAATAGCAAACAATATACTTCATTTTTATTTTTATAATAGAGAGGCAATGTTGAGGACAATGTATAAAAGCCACCTAAACTAATGAACACTGTTTGCGGAAAAAAAAATAGTAAGATCATTAGTAGATGCGGTACATACAAAATTTAAGATTGACGAAATTTTGCATAAAATTTATAGCTATTGTAGTTCTATGATTATTCAAATCATCATATACGTACAAAACCCCAGTGATGTCTACGTTTGTGAGGTAGCATAGGCATGCAACCCCAATGATGTCTGAGTCTGTGAAGTAGCAGCAAGCTTTGGGAAATCTATGTATGTACATATCTTGAGTGTCGAACCACCTCATCCCCTCACATGCAGAGCATTGAATCCAAAACCAATTTCACCAATTAGGATAGTACTCTCATTTTCTATACAATTCCTTATATGTCTTACACAGTTTATTCCAAAAATCTAAACTATAAACTCAACCCGTTTTATAGTTTACATAGATTCTTAACATCCCAAATAATAATATTTTTATGAATAAAGAGTCTAGATTGTTCCTGAATCTCTGGATTGTATTTGTTTTCCCCTCAAAAGCCAATGAGAAAATGAAGAAAAGAAAATTACTATATGAGGGGTGGATAAGATTCCTTGAAAAGAACAGAAACAAATGTAAAATACAATAATAATAATAAAAAAACGCGGGAAAGGACTGAATGGGACCCACTTCTACTCGCTCAGGTAAGCTTGTTTGGGAAGCGCAGCTTAAAGACCTGGAAAAATATAAAGTTTTAAATTTTTAAATAAATAAAAAACACGAGTCAAAATTAGTCTTGTTGTCTGATCAATTAATACAAGTTACTTCCACTCTGATGCTTCCTTCCTCACTCACTCACTCTGCCCAAAATCTCCTTTTTTCTTGGTGTCTCCTCCTCCTGCAGGCTTTCTTCCATTTTCTGTCATGGCCATGGCTGCTGACAAGCCAGCGCCTGCACTGCCGCCGCTCACAGTGAAATTGGATCCTACAAAGTACCCCCTTTGGTTGGCGCAGATCATTCCTTTCCTCAACAGCAGTGGCCTGATGTCTTTCGTCGACGGTACCGCCATGTGTCCTCCCGCCTTTCTTCTCGACGCCGACGGGAAACCCACCAACACGACCAATCCCGATTATGACCACTGGATTCAGATGGACCAGTTTGTGCTTTCTTTGATCAATGGCTCCCTCAGCCACTTTGTTGTTGCTACTCTGGAGGGTTCTCTCTCCGCCCGTGCTACCTGGGTTGCTTTGGAGGCTCTGCTTCTTGGTGCTGAGCAGCAGGTTCCGACTCCGATGGTCTCGGTTTCTGATCATAGCACCGCTGCCGCGGCGGCTTCTCCTGGCTGTGGCTTTGATCATGTTGCTTCAGGAGGCAAGAGGAGCGGCGGCGGCGGCGGCGGTGGCGGCGGCGGCACAACAGGTGAAGGAGTTTCAGGGAAGAAAGGCCTACCCGGGGTTAAGTTCTTCTTTCCCACCGAACAGGAACTGGTTGGCTACTTGACGAACCAAATAGAGGGGAAGGACTCGGAATTCAGGGACTTGATCCCTGTAATTGATAATGTCTGCGAGCGTGAGCCTCGTGATCTGCCTGGTAACCTATTAATCTTTCTCACTTTTTCTTCACTACCCATTTTTGCTATGTATTTGTTTATTTATAAAGTTATGATCTTGATCGATGCTGTTGTTGAGCAGTTTGGTTTCAAAATTTTGTTTTCTGTTGCATTTCGATTTCAACGCTTTTGAAAAAGGCAACCCATTTCTCATTTCTAATGTACTATTTTGTTGTATGCGTAAATTTATCATCTTGTTTAGCAGCGGTTGGTTTCAAATTTCCAATATTTTGGTTGCGTTGAATTTCAGCGTTCTTCTTCAGCCAACCGGATTACAAATACAAAAACAGCAAGCGCTGCAACAGAAGCACAGATGAGGGCTTTTATAAAAGCACAGGCAAGGTTCGTGAGATCAAGGCTGAACAATCCCAAGCTGTGATTGGTAATAAGAGGATTTTGTCTTACTACGAAGGTCGTGCGCCCCAAGCGAAGAAGACCAAGCATGTCATGCATGAGTATTCTCTCACCCAGACTAAACTGGCCCAACTGGGAGCTCAAAACAATCAGCAGAGGGAGTTAGTTCTCTGCCACCTGACGAATAAGTCAGCAAAATCTGCGAAGCTGAAAGATGATTCAATCTGCGGCGATGAATTAGCTGAACCTGCTATTGTTGGCGAAATCGCCTACTCTAAAGATGTTCAAGCTGCTGCAACTGATATGATTCAAGGCCCAGATGAGCATCTCAAAGACAAAGATGCTCTGCTTGGCACTGAGAATCGTAATGAATGCGCCGAGGTGAACTTCTGAACATTTTTGTTTATATGAACTTGCTGTATCAGCACAAGAAGCACTTCAAAACTTAACGCTTGCTTGTCTGTGTTTCTTATTGCAGCCGTCCTGTGCTGATCTTGGAGAAAATATGGATTCAACCTTTCTTTCACCTGAGCAGCTAGCAGCCACATCAGCCACCACACCCACCTCAGCCACATCATTTGGCGGCTTTGGTGTTGGTTCACCTGATGGCTTCTTCCTCTCCGATATCGATGATCTATTGAAACAGGTGAACTTTTGAACATTTTTGTTTATATGAACTTGCTGTATCAGCACAAGAAGCACTTCGAAGCACTTCAAAACTTAACGGTTGCTTGTCCGTGTTTCTTATTGCAGCCATCCTGTGCTGATCTTGGAGAAAATATGGATTCAACCTTTCTTTCACCTGAGCAGCTAGCAGCCACATCAGCCACCACACCCACCTCAGCCACATCATTTGGCGGCTTTGGTGTTGGTTCACCTGATGGCTTCTTGCTCCCCGATATCGATGATATGTTGAAACAGGTGAACTTTTGAACATTTTTGTTTATATGAACTTGCTGTATCAGCAAAAGAAGCACTTCGAAGCACTTCAAAACTTAACGGTTGCTTGTCCGTGTTTCTTATTGCAGCCGTCCTGTGCTGATCTTGGAGAAAATATGGATTTAACCTTTCTTCCACCTGAGCAGCAAGCAGCCACATCAGCCACCACACCCACCTCAGCCACATCATTTGGCGGCTTTGGTGTTGGTTCACCTGATGGCTTCTTGCTCTCCGATATCGATGATCTTTTGAAACAGGTGAACTTTTGAACATTTTTGTTTGTATGAACTTGCTGTATCAGAACAAGAAGCACTTCAAACCACTTCAAAACTTAACGGTTGCTCGTCCGTGTTTCTTATTGCAGCCGTCCTGTGCTGATCTTGGAGAAAATATGGATTCAACCTTTCTTCCACCTGAGCAGCTAGCAGCCACATCAGCCACCACACCCACCTCAGCCACATCATTTGGCGGCTTTGGTGCTGGTTCACCTGATGGCTTCTTGCTCCCTGATATCGATGATCTGTTGAAAGAGGTGAACTTTTGAACATTTTTGTTTATATGAACTTGCTGTATTATTGTGAATTTTAGACAACCTAAAAAATGGAGATTATAAAGATTAGTCTAAACATAAATTATACGCGCAAGTGCACAAGGTAATCGTAATATAGTATGACAAATACATGGTCATTCCCACGAGAATTGAGTTCAACTTCCAATTAGTCTAACCTAATTTACTTCACAAAATACTTTAACTACTCTAATTTTATAAACAAGAAATTAAACACACAGCATGCTCACGTAAACAAAAAAGGGGTTTTTGAAAGAATGATTTAATTAACAACGAAATTAAAAGACAAAACAAGTAGAAAGTCATGAAACATAAAGACGAGAAATTCAAATTGATAAAAGCATTAGGACAATGAATTCACCACTAGTAATCTGATCTAGCCTCTTATTCACCTACATGTTGACGGAACAATATAAAGTATGAATTTAGATTATAATAATTCTCAACAAAATTGTTATACAACAAATTCACGTGACATTAATGTAAATCAACAAACACAAATATGTAGAAATACTGACAACTTTAGTGATTGAGGCTTGCAAGAATTGCAACATCCTAAAGACAGATTTCGCCCTTGCCCTTATGCTCGCAGTTCTTTTGGCGTCTATCTCCCTAAATTCAACAATCGATAATCCTAAATTGAAGCACTTCAATTTAAGACTATGGCGAACCAATTATAGATTTTGGGATTATCGATAATCCTCCATACGTTTTGCAAGGACTTACGAAGTAATTTACCAACTCTTCAGTAGACCTCCCCCACATTTAAGGTATTTGTAGGGTCTTTAACCTTTTTATACCTTAAAATAAACGTTACTCATCTATTTTAAAGAGCAAATTACTTGTCCATTCTTACACAAATATGAGATTACAAAGATAACTAATCCACCCCCAACAATTCTCTTACAATTGTAATTGCTATTAAACTACCAATGAATTTTCATACCTTAAGAACTTAGCAAATTACATTTAGTGCAATTTTGCAATAGACCCCCTCATTTTCGGGTTCTCATCATTTGTGTAATTTTGTTACACATGAATATCCTCTAGGAAATTTTGAAGCCACTTTACTCGCCCCACCACCCTTGTTAAGGCTATGGATTCACATCCCACTGCAGATCATGCCAATCACTTTGTGGACTTCTTTATCTCAATTGAGAAATTCACTTAGGTACTTTGTCTCTGTCAAAGAACTAAAGCATTGTTTGAATCCTTCACGTACCACATAGTTCATGATAACGTACCTCAAGTACCTTAAAGTCACGACTAACACATCTAAATGGCCATATATCCAGGTTTGCCTGCGAAATAAAGAAACTAGATACAGAGTGTTTCCCCACGCTTTTCTCATCATTTCCATTTAATGAAAAATTTCCCTTTCATACAAACCATTGTAGTTTGAAGCCTCACAATTAGAAACTTAATTCTACAAAATAGGGCTTTACCCCCACCATTTCAGTTGTTGTCTTTGTAAGACACAGAAATTTACCACGTTTCTGGTCATTTCAACACTACTTCTCTTCTTGGAATGCAAAATTTATATGAACAGCCAGAAGCCCAACGAATGGATTTAACAGCCTAATTTGGAGATTTTCCCAACTGTAAACCAAACATGCAGACATGATTCTAGATTGTGAAAAATTGACAGCCCACTTGTTTCAAGGCATGGCTATCTCATAATTCGAGTTTATCCTTCACATGTCGACCATGAATTTACCAACTAGTGAAACAGATACAATAAACTGATGTAATTCATGCTTGCAAACATCTTAATCACAACCCGGTACATGGGATTTAGCAGACACAACGGTTAACAAAACAAACAGTTAACTTGTTCAACGAGATGTGACCACATGCCCTCATCCTCAAAGTCAATTTGAAAGTCATATCAATTGTACTATTATGTATACTGAATATACATCATTTCGCATAACATCCAGCCCCCACCAAAATGTAACTTCCCATAAATAAAAAAAATCATAGAAACTGCTACAGTATGAAACTGTTCACATATTCTGCTTATGTGGTTGGGTGACTTGGTTGAAATTTCAAGCCCAACAACAAACGTTGTAATATTTGAAGCATGCCTCAAATTAAGTATGTAAAATAAGAAAACTATATTATCATACTAGGGCTACATCATGCCTTAGCAACAGAAAATTAGTTACACATAATCATAGAATTCGGCATAAGTAAAAACATAAGGAAGTAAAAATAAAACTTAGTCAAATGTGGTACTCTTCCGACGTCTCCGATCTCTCTAAGTCTTTGCGTAACCCCCGAAGGAGTTGTTTCTCATGCTTAAATAAAACACCACACATCTATTTCTACCCTAGCTGGGGATTTTACAGCAGCCCAAAAATAAAGAAAAACTTAATTAAACCATAAATCCAAAATGGGTAAGTAATTGACTCCTTTTCCTACTTTGACTGGGATAACACGTCAATTACTTTGCACACACGCGCCTTAAGAAAAAAATCAGGAAAGTCTTGAAATAATCATTCTTCCACAGCAGCACAGTTTTGACGGGATTGCACCTTATGCTGACTTAACTTCAAAGACTGCTCTCATAGGCTGCTCCGAAAATTCTAGAAAAATTCCACAATCATCTTCAAGATCTTAGCTTTCATCTCCAATTGGTCTTGTACAAAAACTCCACCAAAAAGTCGTATTTCAGTTGAAAATCAATTACTTGCACTGGAAAGCTGAAAATTGAGAAAATAAAGTAATAAATCCTTTTTAAAGCAAATTCTCCTACAAAAACTTAGCATAAAGAGTACATAAATGTATAAATTTATGTGTAAATTTATGGACTTATCATGTATCAACACAAGAAGCACTTGAAAACTTGACCCTTGCTTGTCTGTGTTTCTTAATGCAGCCGTTCTGTGCTGATCAGCCACATCAGCCACCACCCGCACCCCAGTAATCGTAATATAGTATGACAAATACATGGTCATTCCCACGAGAATTGAGTTCAACTTCCAATTAGTCTAACCTAATTTACTTCACAAAATACTTTAACTACTCTAATTTTATAAACAAGAAATTAAACACACAGCATGCTCACGTAAACAAAAAAGGGGTTTTTGAAAGAATGATTTAATTAACAACGAAATTAAAAGACAAAACAAGTAGAAAGTCATGAAACATAAAGACGAGAAATTCAAATTGATAAAAGCATTAGGACAATGAATTCACCACTAGTAATCTGATCTAGCCTCTTATTCACCTACATGTTGACGGAACAATATAAAGTATGAATTTAGATTATAATAATTCTCAACAAAATTGTTATACAACAAATTCACGTGACATTAATGTAAATCAACAAACACAAATATGTAGAAATACTGACAACTTTAGTGATTGAGGCTTGCAAGAATTGCAACATCCTAAAGACAGATTTCGCCCTTGCCCTTATGCTCGCAGTTCTTTTGGCGTCTATCTCCCTAAATTCAACAATCGATAATCCTAAATTGAAGCACTTCAATTTAAGACTATGGCGAACCAATTATAGATTTTGGGATTATCGATAATCCTCCATACGTTTTGCAAGGACTTACGAAGTAATTTACCAACTCTTCAGTAGACCTCCCCCACATTTAAGGTATTTGTAGGGTCTTTAACCTTTTTATACCTTAAAATAAACGTTACTCATCTATTTTAAAGAGCAAATTACTTGTCCATTCTTACACAAATATGAGATTACAAAGATAACTAATCCACCCCCAACAATTCTCTTACAATTGTAATTGCTATTAAACTACCAATGAATTTTCATACCTTAAGAACTTAGCAAATTACATTTAGTGCAATTTTGCAATAGACCCCCTCATTTTCGGGTTCTCATCATTTGTGTAATTTTGTTACACATGAATATCCTCTAGGAAATTTTGAAGCCACTTTACTCGCCCCACCACCCTTGTTAAGGCTATGGATTCACATCCCACTGCAGATCATGCCAATCACTTTGTGGACTTCTTTATCTCAATTGAGAAATTCACTTAGGTACTTTGTCTCTGTCAAAGAACTAAAGCATTGTTTGAATCCTTCACGTACCACATAGTTCATGATAACGTACCTCAAGTACCTTAAAGTCACGACTAACACATCTAAATGGCCATATATCCAGGTTTGCCTGCGAAATAAAGAAACTAGATACAGAGTGTTTCCCCACGCTTTTCTCATCATTTCCATTTAATGAAAAATTTCCCTTTCATACAAACCATTGTAGTTTGAAGCCTCACAATTAGAAACTTAATTCTACAAAATAGGGCTTTACCCCCACCATTTCAGTTGTTGTCTTTGTAAGACACAGAAATTTACCACGTTTCTGGTCATTTCAACACTACTTCTCTTCTTGGAATGCAAAATTTATATGAACAGCCAGAAGCCCAACGAATGGATTTAACAGCCTAATTTGGAGATTTTCCCAACTGTAAACCAAACATGCAGACATGATTCTAGATTGTGAAAAATTGACAGCCCACTTGTTTCAAGGCATGGCTATCTCATAATTCGAGTTTATCCTTCACATGTCGACCATGAATTTACCAACTAGTGAAACAGATACAATAAACTGATGTAATTCATGCTTGCAAACATCTTAATCACAACCCGGTACATGGGATTTAGCAGACACAACGGTTAACAAAACAAACAGTTAACTTGTTCAACGAGATGTGACCACATGCCCTCATCCTCAAAGTCAATTTGAAAGTCATATCAATTGTACTATTATGTATACTGAATATACATCATTTCGCATAACATCCAGCCCCCACCAAAATGTAACTTCCCATAAATAAAAAAAATCATAGAAACTGCTACAGTATGAAACTGTTCACATATTCTGCTTATGTGGTTGGGTGACTTGGTTGAAATTTCAAGCCCAACAACAAACGTTGTAATATTTGAAGCATGCCTCAAATTAAGTATGTAAAATAAGAAAACTATATTATCATACTAGGGCTACATCATGCCTTAGCAACAGAAAATTAGTTACACATAATCATAGAATTCGGCATAAGTAAAAACATAAGGAAGTAAAAATAAAACTTAGTCAAATGTGGTACTCTTCCGACGTCTCCGATCTCTCTAAGTCTTTGCGTAACCCCCGAAGGAGTTGTTTCTCATGCTTAAATAAAACACCACACATCTATTTCTACCCTAGCTGGGGATTTTACAGCAGCCCAAAAATAAAGAAAAACTTAATTAAACCATAAATCCAAAATGGGTAAGTAATTGACTCCTTTTCCTACTTTGACTGGGATAACACGTCAATTACTTTGCACACACGCGCCTTAAGAAAAAAATCAGGAAAGTCTTGAAATAATCATTCTTCCACAGCAGCACAGTTTTGACGGGATTGCACCTTATGCTGACTTAACTTCAAAGACTGCTCTCATAGGCTGCTCCGAAAATTCTAGAAAAATTCCACAATCATCTTCAAGATCTTAGCTTTCATCTCCAATTGGTCTTGTACAAAAACTCCACCAAAAAGTCGTATTTCAGTTGAAAATCAATTACTTGCACTGGAAAGCTGAAAATTGAGAAAATAAAGTAATAAATCCTTTTTAAAGCAAATTCTCCTACAAAAACTTAGCATAAAGAGTACATAAATGTATAAATTTATGTGTAAATTTATGGACTTATCATGTATCAACACAAGAAGCACTTGAAAACTTGACCCTTGCTTGTCTGTGTTTCTTAATGCAGCCGTTCTGTGCTGATCAGCCACATCAGCCACCACCCGCACCTCACCCGCATCAGCCACCACCCGCACCTCACCCGCATCAACCACCACCAGCACCGCAGTCACATCAGCCACCATCCCCATCTCAGCCACAAAATTACTGCTTCTCCACACTGCCGTCAGCATTATGCACCAAGCAGGGAAATGTTCCGAGTCTCTATAATGATGACTGCAGTAGGCAACTATCTCCAACTGGGAACCCACCTCACCCGCATCAACCACCACCTGCACCTCACCCACATCAGCCACCACCCCCATCTCAGCCGCAAAATTACTGCTCCTCCACACTGCCGTCAGCATTATGCACCAAGCAGGGAAATGTTCCCAGTCTCTATAATGATGACTGCAGTAAGCAGCTATCTCCAACTGGGAATAACGTTTCAACTAATTATCACCATGAACCGGTTAGCAACACCGCTTATAGTATTCAAAATGGGGCTACTGATGAAAGGTTTTCAGAGGTGAGAATGAGCGAGCTCTTCGAATTATTTTTTTCTCATATGAACTTTTTTAATATGGAGCACAAGAATTGCATCCAAACTTAGTGCTTGCTTGTTATGATTCTCAACCCAGGTTTATAAAATTTCAACCAATGATCACAATGAATCAGTTAGTTCAGAGGTGAGAATGAGCATGCTCTTTCAATTTTATTTAATATTTTTATATGAACTTCTCAATATGGATAACAATTAGTACATCCAATCTTAACGCTTGCTTGTGATGTTTCTTAATCCAGGCTTACTTTCAGCCAGAAGAAAATTTGGGCATTCTTCATCCATTTCGGCCACAGGATTACACACTGCTGTCACCAAGGAACACAGAACTGGGAGATTTTATGCATGCCAATAACTATATTGACATGCAGTGGTGAGTCGCAGTCTCCAGATAATCTGGAGTTTACGATTCTTTTCCCACAGTTCTTAAATAATTTCATTGGCGACCAGGATTATTATCCTGTGAAGAAACAACATACACTACTTTCAGTGACTCTAATCTACCGGAGCCATGGGGAGGAGTCTATGATAGCGATAGTGGAGTAAGAAGTGAAAGGAACACTGAATTACTCCATGGATGGGTAGAAGTTTTATTCTGCATTAGCTGCTGCAACATAGATGGTGCAACATTTTAGTTATAGGGGAGCATCAGTAAACCACAAGAGGTCTTGGAAGGGTAGCACATCACCCTTATCTACAAAACAAATTAGATTTCTTTGATGTTATTGGAAACATCTCCCTAAAACCATTAGGCAAGTCCCCGATGGGGCATGGCATAACATTTCGATTCCAAGGTCTAGCTCTAGGCTTATTCTCTGGCTTTCGTTCCCAAGTTCTTGCTCTAGCCTTATTCTCTGGCTTTCGTTCCCAAGTTCTTGCTCTAGCCTTGTTCTCAGGCTTTTGTTCCAGCTGTAGCCTTATTCTCCCAAGTTCTTGCACTAGTCTTATTCTCAGGCTTTCGTTCCCAAGTTCTTGCTCTAGCCTTACTCTCGGGCTTTCGTTCCCAAGTTCCTGCTCTAGCCTTATTCTCATGCTTTCGTTCCCAAGTTCCTGCTCTAGCCTTATTCTCAGGCTTTTGTTCCAGCTGTAGCCTTATTCTCAATCTTTCGTTCCCAAGTTCTTGCTCTAGTCTTATTCTCGGGCTTTTGTTCCCAAGTTCTTGCTGTAGCCTTATTCTCAGGCTTTTGTTCCAGCTGTAGCCTTATTCTCAGGCTTTCGTTCCAGCTGTAGCCTTATTCTCAGGCTTTCTTTCCCAAGTTCTAGCTCTAGCCTTATACTCAGGCTTTCATTCCACACTATTGTTCTGGAAGTGGCATTAGACAGGATCTGCTTCTACATGGCTGCTGGAGTCTCAATATATAATACAGTGACCAGACGCTAATGTGACGTTATGGTTATTGGTATGGAAATTTGAGATTCCTTCCTAAATGGAGTAGTAATTACAATCATTGTAAAACTGCACGATTATGATTGGTTTAAAACCTATCACCTTCAAGCAGAAACAACAAACCCCTACAATCATTGTAAAACTGTGTTATTATGATTGGTATCCTTGTAAATGTTGTTGATTTTGTTTTTGCAATTGGCCTATATCAA